GCACTCACCTTCAGGATGTTGGTGACAGTGGGCTCAGCCCTCAGGATGAGCCCCGGGTTTGGCTGGATGTTGGCGTTCTCGGCCGATTTCAGGGATGGGGAGTTTTCCTTGTCCGCTGCCCTGGTGACCCAAAAAAAGGGACAGTGGGTAGGAATCCATCACYCTGCCTCCCTCCCCACAACCAGAGCCACCCCCAAGGGACAGCCACTGCCTCAGGCCACCTGAGGGCACACTCTGTCTGTCCCCAGCCTGTCCCAAAAGCATCATCCTGTCCCCCCAAGCTGCCATGTCCCAATCGTGGTCCCCACAGTTGCTCCCTCATGCTCCCCCCTCCCCAAAACCAGGTGCTCCAGCCCCACTTCTGGGGTGTTTCTCAGACTTTGGCATGGCTGTACCGTTTGTCGATGAGGTTGTTCATGTTGGCCTCRGAGAGCAGCCCCTGCTTGCTGCACTCCTGCAGGAGCAGGCTCATGCAGTTGCAGCTGGAAGAGAGAGGAGAGCTGTAGCCCCAAGGATGGCATTCCTGTCACTCCAGACAGCCCCACAGGGCAGGGGGACTCCTGAGCTGCCCTCCTGGCCCTGTGCCACCCCTCCGAGGGTGCTGCAGGGTCCAGAGCAGCTCTGGGTGTCACACAGCATCACCTACATGTGACTCAGCTGTCACACACTCACTGTCACTCATGTGGCAGCCCTCAGGAAGAAGAAATGGGATCAGGAACTACCCCAGCCCYGCCAGGAGCTGCTCCAGCACCCTGCACCAGGGACAGGGCAGTTGTGGGCTGCTGTGGCCATGGTGAGCACTCACTTGCAGCGCTGGTCGGCTTTGTCGAGCAGAGGGGTCAACTTCAGCAGGAACTCGAAGGCACAGTTCACATCCTCAGTGAAATCCTGGTGAGCACAAAGCCAGGCACTCAGCTCACCCCGCTGCTGGCACAGCAGACCTCCCCCTGCCCCCACATGCTCTGCTGGGGAAGGTTCTTGGGACAGGGGCCATTTCCCTGTCATTTCCCCACAGCACCAATGTGACACACAAAGCCCCCACAGACAGCCCTCCAGACTCACCTTGTCCCCCTGGGGATACTTCTTGAGTTTAACCAGCACTTGGGGCATCTGAAAGACACAGGGTACAGTGTGACAGCAGGGCAGACCCTGTTCCACAGCTGGGACCCCCCAGCAGCACCATCCCACACCAACACAGCTGCACACAGCTGCTCTCCCAGCCCGGGGAAAGCAGCATTTCTGGAGCAGTGTGTGCACCCTGGAGACTTGGTGCCCCTGTTATCCTCCATGGTGCACTTCCACCATCACCCAGAGCCACATTTCCCCACACATCCCAGGAAAACCCACTCGGTCAAACAAAGTGAGGCGGGGCTGAAAGGAATCCCTTGGACACCAAAATTGATGGTCAGCGTGTGGCTGGGGTGGGCTCAGGTGGGATGGACCCAAGCAGCACATTGCGGGGAGTGGGGGCACTAACCCTAACCCTAAACCCTAACCCTAATCCTAAACCCTAAACCAAATAAAGAGCACATTGTGAGATGTGGGGAGCATACTGTGGGGTGTGGGACACCCTAAGGGACACATTTCGGGGTGTGGGAGCACCCCAAGGGGCACACTGTGGGGTGTGGGGCACCCCAAGGGGCAGCTAGAGTGGGTAGGGGACACGCTGTGAGGTGTAAGGCACCCAAGGGACACACTGTGGTGTGAGGGGCACACTGTGGGGTGTGGGCACCTTGAGGGGTGAGAGAAAAGGACTAATTGTTCTCCCAGAGCTCAGAGCTCTGCAAAAGCCAGGCGTGCAGGGAAAGAGCAGAGGGGTGTGGGGTTTGGTGCTGGGGCTGGGCCCTACCTTCAGGAAGGTGAAGGCCGTCCACTTGAGCTCCTCCGTGCCCTCAGGGCACTCGATGAGGCCCACAAAACAGGCCTTCCAGATCTCCAGCACGAAGAGCGGGGAGGGGATGCGCTGTGGGAYACACACACACACAGACACAYAACTCCCTCAGTTCCTGGCTGGCAGCAAAGCACATCCCCCCATCACACACCAACCCTGAACCCCCGTGGAGCTGTTGATGGGCTCCCGCTGCTCCCTTGGACCAGCACCAGCACAGGGAGSCACATGGCATGGAGCTATGGCTGGGCCCCACAGCCCCAGGCTGTCTGAGCAGGAGAAAACGTTGTCACTTTTGTACCTGCATCCTCTTCACCATCATCAGCTGCTCCACCAGCGGCTGGGTCTCTCCCGTCAGGTTCATGGTGCCCTCCAGCAGCACCACGGCGTGCACGGTGGGGAAGCCTGTCTTGTTCAGCTGCTCTGAGTGGACTGAGAGCATGGTGGGGATGCTGGGAGGGAGAGGACAAGCCCAGGGTCACTGGAGCCCTGCAGGGACAGATTCCTGCTCCTCCTGTCTCACTCCCATTCCCTGGCCAAGCCCCTGACCTTTGCTGGCCYGGGGCAGGACAGACTGGAACACCTGAGAGCTCCAAGGCACAGCCAAGCCCTCGGACCGTGGGAGCAATTCCAGGGGGATCCAGAGCAGTGACAGCAGCTCTGGTGTGGCCAGAGCAGCTGAGGGACAGCAAAGGGTCCCAAGGTCACCAGAGGAGCAAGCCCTGGGTGAGATTCCTCTGCACAAGCCACCACTAGCCCTGTCCTCTCTCCTCTGGGCAGTCCCCAGAGCAGGGATCTGAGCTGGGAAAGGATGGGGAAGCAGGAAGCCAAGAGGCTCTCAGCCCTCAGAGCAGWGAGTTTGGGGGACTCAGAGTGGGGCTCAGACCCATTTTACCCCCAGAGCCCATGGAGCAGCAGCACACAGCCACCTCTTGATGAGGGACACGCAGTCGTCAGCCTGGCTCCGCAGCGGGGAGTTGCCGAGGTTGTTCAGGTTCTCTCCCAGCTTGACGAGGGACTGCTCCACGGTGCTCCAGGAGGCTGAGGAGGGAGGGCAGGGAATCAGCGAGGGGACAGCAGCACAGGGGGAAGCCAGGCAGGCCAGCTGCAAGGCCTAGAGCAGCACAGAGGGGCTGGGGGTCCCTCCTGGCGCTGAGAGCCCAAATCAGAGGTCTGTGTGCCCCCAGCAGGTCCCGCCCTAAGCCCGGCCTGGCACAGCCTCCTGGCCAGACACAGGCACAGACGAAGGCGTGGGGCTGTGCCAGGCTGCCGGAGCACAGGGCTCGCCACGCGCCCAGGAACAGCTCACGCAGCCTTCACATTAATTCTGCTCCTCTTCCAAGGGCAGCACGGAGAGGAGGGGGCAGAGGGTGGCACGGAGCCAGGGAGAAGACGGTTACRGCAACAGGGCTGGAAGATGGATAGGCTTGGAGCTGCAGGGACAATGCGGCAGGAGCTGGGCAGGGGGAAGGGAGAGGTGGCAATGACATCTCCCCAGGGCCAGCACGCGGGACAGGGACGTACACGTCTCCTCCAGCTTGGCGATGTGGATCAGGGCGCGGTTCTTGGTGCTGCTCAGCACCTTCTCCAGCCGCTCCAGGCACATCTTGAGCTGGTTCTCCGCCGCCGCCTGCTCCAGYGGCTCCTTCACCTTCTCGGCGTAGAAGGAGGCGCAGCGCAGGAGCCAGGTGAGGGCACTCAGCAGGGCCCGGCACAGGCTGATGCACTCCTCGGCCTTGCCGTGGCAGCTGGGACAGGAGAGAAGTGGGAATAAGCTCGCTGCATGCAGGGAAACTGAGGCACAGACACAGGAGTAGGCTGGGGAAGCCAGATCCAGGTCCTGCATTCCCAGCCCAYCCCTCTGCTGCAGATCCCAACCTGCTCGTCCCACCATGTGCCAGGGGGAAGGATCCCAACCTGCTTGTCCCACCCCCCACCATGCAGGCTCCTCGCTGGCCACTCCACTACAGGGAAACTTTCCAAGCTTTTAATCAAATTATCTTGCTAAGAGAGGCTCAGCATCGATCAGCGCACTGCGAGAGGTGAACGCTTTCCCCTCCTGATGCACAAATCATCGGGGCCAGAAGTTTTGATCAAATTAAGCAGAGGATCAGAGCAGGCAGGAGCGGATTAAGGGCCGGCTCTGCAGTTGGCCAGCGACAGCTCCTTGTCAACATCTGCCACTGATGCATATTCATCGCTGCTGCTTCATTTCATCTCATTGAAGAGCCTTCCTCATCCTCATCCTCCCTCCCACTGTCCCTGCTGCACGCTCCCGCCTCCTAGAAGAGGCTGTCAGGGGTTAACAGGAAGATTTCTGAGCTTTCTAAAAAAGTTTTTGTGGCCTGAATTGTCTGGACTCCCCTGGGTCCTGCAACACCAGCGGAAGAGCATGAAGGAAAAACACAAGGCAGTGCCTGGGGCAGTGCAGGCAGGACCAGACTGGGACACWCAGCTGGGGTCTGGGAAGGTCCAGAGGGAAAGGAAACAGAGACCCTCGGACCATGGGTCTTACACCCACMCCAATCTACCTGAGCTGGGCAGGAAAACCACGGTGAGGTTTATCCCAGAATAGGGGGGTTTYCTGCAGCTTCCCACAAAGTTGGTGGGGTYTGRATTCCCTCTGCTGTCTCTGTACCARTGCTYAAGAGGCAACAATTTGGGAATGGACACAGAGCAGGAGGGGGAACCTGCCCTCCTCTGTCATGGTGAGTATGCTGGGATCTGACAGGACCCCCAGGCTTCAGTGRCTCCTGGTTCTGTCCATGGCACAGCCCGGGCAGAGATGGCAGTGCTGGAACATCACACTGTACCTGAGGCGGTCACAGAACATGTCCATGATCTCCAAGAGCGACTGGACACACAAGTCCCGAGAGAAGTCATCGAACTAGAGCAGGGGAACACAGAGGCACTTCAGATGGGGGCTGCCCATTCTCCGGCAGCTCCCGAACCAAGCTTAAGCCCTTCCTCCAGGGCCGGGCCAGGCGCTGCGGCCGCAGGACACTCCCCCTGGCAGCTGCCCAGAAGCCACTTGAATGGGAAGTAGGTCAGGGCTGTCTGTCGGCCAGGTCGTGCCCTCCCGGGGTRGCGAGAGGCGGTGGGATCGCGGCAGCAGGGCCGGGGCTGGGTTTTCTCCGCAGCCTCAGGCCGGGGCTGCGCTGCCCCGCCGCGGCGGTGGTGGCCGGACGCCAGCCCCCTGCCCACCCCCATCTCGGTGGGGCTGGCAGCGCTAGCAGCCCGGCTGGCCGCGGGGCTGGGGGCGGGGGGCAGCAGAAGCGCGGCCCCCCCGCCTCCTCCCAGAGCAGATGGGGAGCCCCGCCGGGCCGGAGCTTGCCCGCAGCTCCGCGCTGGGCCCACGCTGYGCTGAAGGAGGAAGGCTCGGCTGTCAAGGTCAGCGCTGCGCCCGCCCCTCCGAATGGGCAGCGACACTGCACCGGGTAACAGCAAYGAGCCCTTCAGAGAAGAGCTGGGCTGGGCTCTGCTCTACCCCCCCTGGGAGTGCACCCTTCTACCCTGGATTGGCACTGGGCCCRCCACAASGGTCCCCACCTCACCCAGGCTTCAYGGCACAACTCTGAGCTCAGCCTGCAGTCCCCAAAAATTTTCAACACTGACTGCCGGCAGCATTCTCCTCCCATCCCCATATCAACAACAAGGTGGGGGAAGAGAAATAATTGTCCCCGAAATCATTCTCCCTGAAATCATTCCTCCTTTGGTCACCCTGGGTAGGGGACCTGAGATCACCCTGACACGGAAGAGAGTGRGGGRRTCTGTCACAGCCTGTGAGGGGCTTCCCAACACCAGGCAGAGGCAGCCACGGAGGGCTTGTCCCCGTGGGAGYGGCACAGGGACATTGAACACCCGTGGGAAGCCATAGCTGAGCGTGGTGTGTGGCTGCAGCCGCGTGGCCCAGGCCCTGGCAGCTCCTCCATGGTCAGCTCCGATCCCCACAGCGCTGCCAGCACCGCCGGCCACAGCGGGATGTGGTTTCCGGCGGTTGGGATGGGGTTACACACAAGAGCTGGAGCCTGCCAGGCCCCCCAGGGCAGAGGGACCAGGCATTCACACCCCTAAAACCCGCCAGGACCCGCGGCAGCCCATCCCCAGGGGACACGGAAAGGCTTGGGCGCTAATCCGTGCTGGCTGCCCGCTGCTGACTCAGCCCAGGACGTCGCTTTCCACTTGACCTATATTTGGTGGGAGTTGTGGGGAGGGAAAGGGATTCGTGGGGCTGTGGTAAAAAGCGAAACCTCCGAGAGCACCTGCCAGAGCCGTACCTTGCTGATGGCCGTCAGCACCGTGGAATAAGACACCATCTACAACACAGAAAGCCAAAACAAGCGCGGTGTCACGGGGGCTGTGTGCCAGCACCGCGCTCGTTGCTGAGGAACGGCAAGGTCAGGGCACGGCCCCGCTGCCTGTCACCGCAGACGGGGCCGGGGCCGGGCCGCTGACCCGGCACAAATCCAAACAGACATTTTTAGGTGATCGCTGATGTGTTTCACACAAACTTTAGGCGATATTAAATGCCGGGATATGAAAGCGTGGAGCTCACAGAGAGTGCGGAGGCTCTCGGGGGGCAGAATTCCCACCCCAGGCGATGGCAGAGGCTATTTATGGAAACATCCCTGCCCAGGGCACGCGCTGAGCCCTCCACTGCCTGCCCCGGCCCAGGAAAGGCTCAGATGGGGGATTTGGGGTGCCTGCCCAGCCCCAGAGAGGCTCAGATGGGGGATTTGGGCTGCCTACCCAGCCCCGGAGAGGCTTAGATGGGGGATTTGGGGTGCCTGCCCAGCCCCAGAGAGGCTCAGATGGAAGATTTGGGGTGTTTGCCCAGCCCCGGAGAGGCTCAGATTGGGGATTTGGGGTGTTTGCCCAGCCCCAGAGAGGCTCAGATGGAAGATTTGGGGTGTCTGCCCAGCCCCAGAGAGGCTCAGATGGAAGATTTGGGGTGTCTGCCTACCACCAGCACCCCAGTTGCTTTGCCCAGCTCGCTGCAAGGTGACCCCCAGTAGCACCAGCAGGTCCTTACCTGGGAGCTGATGGCGTATTTCAGGTAGGACAAGATGAGTGGGTTGGGGGATGGCCCRATCATGGCCTGCTCCAGGAGAGCCTCTGCAAGGAAAGAGAGAGGCCAGGGGTCCCAGGTCAGCACATGGGGACACACAGACACACTCTGCTCTGCCCTCATCCCACAGGGAAACTGGCAAAGCCTAACTGTGCCAACCACAGCGACTCCACACCACTTTTCCCCTAAATTCACCGAATCCCGCAACTTTCTAATCCCTGACAGGCAGGACCCAGTGAATAATTCAGGCAGAGCATGCAGCTTCCTGCTAACACAGCTCTCCCTGGGTACTCCAGCCCCGAAACTGCTGCTGCTGCTCTCCACATTCCCCACCCTCCCACTTCTTGCCGTGAGGCTCCTGGTAGCCTCCACTGAGTGGCTTTTGCCCAGGCACCGGGGGCTGAGCTCGGGGCCACCAGTCCCCTCCACTGGGCGAAGCCCTGCCCGTCTGGCCCTCGGTGGCCCGAGGGGCTCTGCCCGTCCCATCTGCTCAGCCAAGCCTTTAATTGCCCATTTGAACCATGGCAGAGTGCAGGAAGCACCTCCCCGAGCAGGCCCCGGGCTGTGGTGTGGGCTGCAAGTAGGTCAGAGCACCCAGATGTAAAAGGGGGAGCAGCAGCCTGGTGGGAAACTGTCACCCCAAAGCCGAGGAGGAGGAGGAGGAGGAGGAGCCGCTGCGGGACCCCAAGCGCGGGAGCAGGAGACTCCCTGGGTCTCGCTCCAAGGCTGAATCCTGGGCCAACAGCGTCTGGGATGAGGACAGAAGGCTGGTGGCAGCCGTCCCCTCCCCAGCCCATCCCAGAGTGTCACCACGAGCCAGCCACATGCTGCTCCCCACTGCAGACGTGTCAGCAGCGATCTGCCGGGCCCTGCCGTGATCCTGGCAGCTCGTGCCAGCTTTCCTTCCTTTGTACTTCCAAGCTGAAAGGCACGAGCTTGGGAAAGGACAGCTCTGGGGGCTGTGGTGAGGAAGGGAGCTGCTGTTCCAGCCTTTGGAAGCTCGGGAATGGGCTCTCCCTGTGTGGATGCAATGCTCAGAGCCGGGTCCTGCCTGTGKGGATCCCAAAAGGAAAAGGGGACAYGGCTCCTTCACCTCCTGGCAGAAGAGTTGCCCCCAGCGAGCCCTGGCTAAGTGTGGGCCAAGAGGAACCTGTTCCTACAGAAATAACAGGGAATTATCATCTCTGGCTTTGTTTTTGGGGATACACAGACGAGCCCACRCCAAGCACCCCGCAGGCCTTGCTGCCAGCGGAGCAGGAGCTGGTGCCACCAGGGTGGGAACAGGCACCAGGGAGCCCCGGGGACCAGCTGGGCAGCAGCAGGACTGGCCCTCGAGCCAACCACCCCCACCCCCAGCAAATCCACCCAGAGCAAATCCATCTCCCCACAGCCACAGCCCCACTTGGGCCCTCCAGCCCCACCTCGGAGAGGACAAACCCAGCTGGGGTTTGAGAGGAAAAACCCAGAGGGGACAGGGTGTGACAAAAACCAGACACACTGACAAAAAATCCACTGGGAGGACGGAGGGAGAGGGAAACATCCACAAGGGAAAGATCCCCACACTCAGAGGAGTGARAGCTKYTGCCTCTGTGGGGCTGGTTCCTTTWAAMCCCCCTGGAGCAGCAACCCCCAGCTCTGTTTATTTATCCATGGACTTGCCGCACRGGGAAAATCCCAGCACCAAGTTTCTATAATTAGCAGGAGAGCCTGGCAAATCTTTAAACCAGTCCCAGCCTTTGGCAGGATTTGTGTGAAATGCCCTTGAATTGGGCTGGGAAGCCAGGGTGGGAAGCAGCCTTGAGAGCAGCACCTGGCTCCTGTGCAGTGCCTGGAATCAGGAAATCAGGGAATCATTAAAGCTGGAAAGACCTCCAAAAGCATCTCASCACTGACCCAAGAGCCACATCCACACGGTGATTCCACCACAGCCTGTTCCAACACCTAACCATCCTTTCCATGAAGACATTTCCCCTAATTTCCAACCTAATCCCCTCCTGGCACAACTTGAAGCTGCTTCTCCTGTTACAAAAGCCAGGCTGTGCTGACTCCTGAACCCTCCCGGGGGAAAAAATGGAGGGAATAACCCCAAAACAGAGCCAGTGGGGTGGGAAAGGGGTAGGGGAACAGTCGSGAATGGGCTGAAGCGGCTGGGAAAAGGCATTTTGGCGTGAAAAGCGCTGTGGGAAGGGGGGGCCTAAAACACAACAGGGACCCCCAAAACACCCCAGTCTGCACCCCAAAGAGGGGAACACTGGGGGCAACACCCCAATACCCGCGTGGGGGCCCCCAAAACACCCCTGTGCGCCCAATAAAGAGGGGGAACCCCCGGCTCCCCCCGGACCTGCGAGGTTGAGGATGTCCCAGGTAGCTCCGCGGGGGAAGAACCGCTTCATGTTTATGGCCCATTGATAGTCGCTCCAGCGCTCCTTCCAGGCCTGCAGGATGGCCTGCTTCAAGTTCACCACCTTCATGGTCACCCTGCGGACGGAGAGCTCAGGGCGGGGAGGACAGAGCCCTGACCCGGCCGGACAGGGCAGAGCAGAGCGGGCCGGGGAGCGCGGAGAGGCGGCCCAGCGGCTTCGTGAGGGGCGCGGCTGAGCGTCCGCCCGCTCTCTGGGGCTGGGGAAGCTCGGAGCTGTCCCGGAACCCCCCRGAGCACCCCAAGGTCCGGTACCAGCGGGTGCTACCGGGTCCCACCGCCCCTCACAGCGGCCCGGCGCCGCCCTCAGCGCCTGGGCACCGCCATGGCGGCACCTGCCAACAAGCCGCGCTCTGATTGGGCGGCGGGGAGCGGCGGGCGCGGGGGGTGATGGGAGTTGTAGTTCGGGGGTGAGGATGGGCGGGGGCGGGAGCGAGTGTGCAAAGGGTCGGGTGGAAAAAGGGATCGAGTGTGCAAACACCGGGATGAGTGTGCAAACACSGTGTGGGTGAGTGTGCAAACACCGTGTGGGTGAGCAAACACGGGGTGGAGGAGAGTGGGCAAACACGGGGGTGTGTTTGTGTGGAAGCATGGTGGTGAATGTGGAGACAGGATTTGATTGTGCAAACAAACCGGGGGTGAGTGTGTAAATAGGGTGAGTGTGCAAACATAGGGGGAGTGTGGAAATCGGGGGTTGCTAACACGGGGGTATGGATCAGGGCGGGTGTGCAAATAGCAGGGGTGTGGAAAGTGGGGGGTACAAACACGGGGGGAAAGGGAAGGCGCAAACGTGGTGTGTGTGTGTGTGAAAATGAAGGGTCGTGCAAAAATAGGGCGACTGTAAAAACAGGGGACGTTCAGATGGGGTGAGTGTAAAAACAGTGAAATGTTCAGGGTGCGAATGGGTGAGTGTGTGAAGGCTCTGGYGTGGCAGCACGGGTGTCCCAGCACAGCCGTGTGTGTGTGCAGGTGTGCAAGCGTGTGCGCMCACATGGGATCGTGTGTGCACAGGCAGGTGTCTGCACGCGTGAGGATGCACACGTGTGTGTGTCCGCATGTTCCCGCACACGCGTGTAGATGCTGACACCCCCGGGCAGGTGTGGACACAGGTACCTGTGCACGGGGTKGGCGCACATGCGTGTGTGCCGCAGACACGCGTGTGCACACACGTGTCACAGCCATGGGTCTGGGCTGCCCCCCACCCCCTCCCTGCAGTACCAGCAGCTAAAAATATCCCCAGGGATGGTGCCAGCCGTCGCCATGGCAACGGGAGGATGGGGAGCGGGGCCGGGGGGCAGCCCCCCCCAACCCCCAGTCCCACAGAACCCCAACACCCTCAGCACTTCCAGCACCCCAACACCCCCAGAATGCTCCCAGTAGCCCCCCCAGCGTCCCCCAGCTCCCCAGAACCCCCAACACCCCCAGACCTCAACACCTCCAGCACCCCCAGAACACTCCCAGCCCCTCCAAACCCTCAGTGCCCCCAGAACGCCCCAGGGGAGAGCCCCAGGGGAAGCCCCCACGGCTCAAGAGCAGGGTGACAGCCCCCAGGGTGCCGGGGTGAGAGCCMAGTCACCCACTAGCCACCCCCCCGGACCCTCCCAGCCCCGCCCGGGGGGGCTCCGCGGCCCCTTAATTCCCCGGTTAATCATTCATGGGGCCGGGGCGCAGCAAATCCCCCCATGCCGGGGCCGGGATTAGGCGGGCGAGCGGCTGCCCAGCCGGCGAGGGGCCCCGGCAGCGGGGGGGGGGGGTCCCGCCGGGGGGAGCCCAACCCCTGAGGAGGGATTTCCTGTGCAGGGGGGGCCCACTCCCCACAGCTGGCGGGGGAACGGACACCACGGGGGTCCCCAGGCGGGAGGGGATCGGAGGARCCCGGCTGGACACCCACCTTAGCACAGCACCCCCAAACTTTGGGGGCGGGGGGTGCTGGCCCTGGTGGGGTGATAGGGTGTTCTCGGGGGGTCGCAGCCCCCCGGGGCTCCGCGGGGGCGGCCGGGAGGGGGGAAGGCGTCGAAGCCTCGGCGCTTTGGCAGGGCGCCCCGGCACAGCTGCCTCCGGCCCGGGGCCGGGGGGGCCGGAAGGGGCCGGGGCCGTTCCCAGCGCCGGGGGCAACCGAGGGGCGAGCGGGGGCCGGCGTGGGGGGCTTCCCCTTCCCACGGGGTCACCGGGACGGCCGGGACCTCTGGTGCCGCGTCCCGCTGGGGGGCACATGGCTGGTTCCTGGTGTTTGGTGGGGTGTGAAGGATCCGTTCCGGGGCGGGGGGACACCCCCATGGGGYCGTCGGGACCCCCGGCTGGTGGTGGGTGCTGTCCTGTGGGGGTGTCCAATGCTGGGGATGGAGGTGCCTGGTGTCACCCCCTTCCTGGGGGTCTGGGGGGCTGCACTGCTAACTCGGGGCTATATTTAGTGTCTCCGCCGCAGAGCAGCAGGATGAATTTTAATGAGCGTGTTCCGGCCGACTGCCTGCGCCCCGAGAACGGCGTGGCCCCTCTGCATCCCAAATCCCTCCGGATCGGGGTCTGCCTCAGGGAATGGGGTCCCCACCCTGGTGGGGACCTGTGGTGGCACTGGGGGGGCTCCTCACCGGGGACGAGGGGCTGGTGATGAATGTGAGGGGTGCCCGTCCGTGCTCCAGAGGGTCCTGCCTCAGTTTCCCCGCTGGGATGGGGGGTGCCAGGCAGCCTCGAGCGGGGGGATTTGGGGACATGGCGTGGTGTTGAGGCGGCCGAGCCCCTTTGGCCGGGGCAGGCGGGCTCGGCCACAGCCTTATCGCGGGCAGACKGTTGCGGGGGGCCGCGGCCGCGCCGTGTTTGCCGAGGATAAAGTGTACGGAACAGGCGGGGAGGGACGGGGGGGCCGTCACGCCGCCGCTGCCCCGTCACTCTGGGACCGCCAGCCATGCGGATGAGGGCCCCGGGGTGACACAGGGACCAGGGGATCCAGAGGAGCTCAGGGGACCACAGGGCTGTAGGGCAGCAGGACGTGCAGGGGTCCGTCGGGGTCTGTGGGGACTCCCCTGGTGTCACTCTCCCCCATGTTTACCCCTATCCCCTATAGGGATSACCGTCCCCTGGGGGCTCCCATTAACTGGGGAGCACCATCCCGGGAAATCACCGTCCCCTCGGGACCCCCATTCCCCGGGTAGCACTGTCCCCTTATTGTCCCCATTCTGAGCAACACCGTGCCCTGAGAGCCGCTGGCCCTTGGGGACCGCCCCCCCCCCCTTCCGTGGGTATTGCCTGCGCACCCCAGTATGGAAATCATCCCCTGGGTACGCCCCTCCCGTGGAAATCCTCATCCCTTGGGGACCCTCCTCTCCTGGAAGACTTCATGCCCGGGAGACCCCCATCCCCCTCRTCCCCTGGGTGTCACCGCACCGCCTGTGCAGCCCGGGGAGGGGCGTACCCACGGGGCTGGGGGTGGGGGGCAGCCAGGCTGATCCCCCCGGGGGTCGCAGGGCAGAGCAGAGGCGCTTTAAGCCCGGGCATGACGGGACGTGTAGTCCGGGGGGGAAAAAGGGGGGGCTGGGAGCAGGGGCTGCTGGGAAGGGGGTGGGGTGGCACGGGCGGGTCGGGGGGCTCCGGGCGGCGACCTCAGCCCCCTCCCCAGTGACCCCGCGGGGCTCCCGGTGCACGCCGCCACCCCCGACCCCACAGCGGCTCCGGCTCCGGCCCCATAGCGTGGTGCGGTCCCCCGTTCTCCTCAGTCCCATGCATCCCCCGGGGGGCGCAGGGGCAGGGCCCCCCGACGTGCGGGTGTCCTGCGGGGCCGGATCCTACCCGGGGTGGGGCGGATCTGGGTGGGACCCCCGTGTCTGGCGTGTGCCCCCCCTTCAGGGCCGGACTGGGCACCCCAGGGTGTGGAGGTGCCCCCTGTCCCGTGTCGCTGTCCCCAACCCCCTGGGCACCGTCCCAGCTCTATATGAGCATCATCTCCCCACCACCGCCACCCCGCAAAGGGCATCGTCCCCAACGCCTCCTGATGCTGTTCCCAAATCCTGTGGGGGTCCCCACTGTCACTGTCACTGTCACAGCATCATCGTCCCCAGCTCCGTGCCCGTGCMGTCCCTGCCCCCATGACCCGATTGTCGCTGTCACAGCGTCCTCGTGGGTGCTGTTCCCAGTCCCTGCGGGCACCATCCCCACCCTGCCACGGGCATCCCCCTGGGCCTCCCTGGGCACCGTCTCCGGTCCCCCTTGGGTACAGCCCCCCACGCTGTGTCAACACCCCCCGTCCCCATTGTCACTGCCACGACATTCCAGCGGGCACAGTCCCAAACTCCTGCGGGCACCATCTTCACCCCACCATGGGCACCATCCCTGTGACCCTGTGGGCACCGTCCTCAGCTTCCTGTGGGTGCCGTGCCCACCCCCCGTGGGCACCTCCCCTAGCCCCCCCTGCACACAGCCCCCCACCCTGCGCTCACCACCCCCCGTCCTCCTTGTCGCTGTCACCACATCCCCGTGGGCACTGCCAGGGCTCCCATCACGCACCCGGCCACGGGCACCGTCCCCACCCCGTGATCCCCGTGTCCCACGCTCCCCATCCCGGTGCCACCCTCCCGCTGTATACGCCCGGACCCCGCCGCTCTCTCCCCCGTGGGTCCCCACGCGGGGCCGGGCGCGGCGGGTGCAGGGAGCGGCTGCGGCCGGCGGAGGGGGCTGCGGCCGCGGCGGAGCGGAGCGGGC